GCTTGGTGTGTGTGTGGGTGTGGGTGTGAGTGAGAAGGGAAAGGGGATGAGGGGAGGGTATAAATAGATAGGAGAGAATGCATTGCTGAAATGTAGGAGAAGAACACGTGTTAGATATATATCGAAAAGTGAGGGTGTGTTGAAGAGGGGTCATACCTTCTTCAAACTTGGACTCCACCGCCACCTCACCTTACCTCCTTTTTCTTTTTGTTGCCTTGCGTTGCCGCCAATAATTCTTTTACTTTCTATTTCTCCGCCTTTATTAATCTCATATGGATCTTGGATAAAAGTGATAAACTAATTTTATTCCCAACTTATTAAAACAATTTATATATCTTTATTTAACGATGTCATCTTTTATGAAATACTAGCGTTCGGTTCTGTGTTTACGCACATATTCAAATAAAAATAATTTTTTTTTACTATGAAGAAGTCTTGTTACATAAGCGACAAAAGTTACCATAATTTAAATTTAATTATCAAATAATTAATATTTCATTCATCTAAAATTATAATAAAAGAAAATAAATTATATGAGTTAAACATTTGTTAATTATCGAGTAATATGAAAAATATTAATAAAAGTTATAATATGAAGATAATTGGTAATTTTATAACTACATATGAGTAATTTGTATACAAACATCATATTTATTTAAAATCTTAGATATTTATATTTGCATAGTCAAGACAAATAATAAGGAATTAAAAAAATATTCAAATAAATTTTACATTATTATTGACTTGATATATTGTGTCGGATATATTTAGCATATTATCTTAATAATTTAACGATATTTTAAGCAATAAAACATTAGTTTATAGTATATCATGTGCATCGCACGAGTATCAACGCTAGTATAATCAATGTACAATAACTCACAAGCAATGTTCTAAATGTTGCTAGGTGTTCACTGCGTAACGCCTAGGACACCTAGGCAGGGTTAAGAAAATAACAATAAATTTATTTATATTATACATCATGCATAAATTATAAGATAAATTATATTAAGTATATTAATTAATATGATCAAATACAAAGATTATGCAAAATTTAATGTATTCATAATTATTGTATAAATTGTGAATTAATTATTACTATTTTTATTATATAATTAATGTAATTTTCATGTGTAAACATCAATTTCTTTTTTTATTCTTTGAAAAAGTAAACTTAAAAAAAATTAAAAAAAATAATATATAGACGCCTAGACGCTGCTACCGTTCAGCCTGCCTAAGTATGAGTGCCTTAACAACCGCTTAACCCACTTAGATGCCGTCTATTATTGGAGTGCCTAGAACGACCGTCTATGCAGACATTGAGACGGACTTTTAGTTCAAAACTCACAAGTAATAATCCAATAATTGTGAGATAAGAAAAATCGTTGAATGGGAGTATAATATCTTAATGGAGAGACTCCACACTAAATAGGAAAAATCTCATCCGCGTGTGTATGCTTCTCAATAACGTGTTTCATGCACTTAATTGAGGATGAGAGATGTGTAGCTTTGTCATTGGACCGAAAGTAGTAGCAAAAAAATCTTGTTTTGTTGCAACACGTACTTTACAATGGTGTAAACTTTTCGCCCAATAGCGAATAGCTTTGGTTTGAAACACAGTGATTTGGTCAATCCGCGTTCAACCCTCTAAAAACTAGAAGAGACGATGACATTTTTACTCAACACGTGGCACCTAAATCTACGGTCAACCCAAATGTTTAACTACTTTATTTTTATGTATGCATGTGGGTCACATCAAATCAATTTGTCCAACACCCTTGCCCCTGTTCAACTTTATATCCGGTTCCCATTTGAAAACCATGTCAGTTTACACCTAATTTCTTTTATCATTTATCTTTATCAAAATTAAAAGGGGGTCTTGTAATATAACATTGCATTGGAATATAATATATATATTAAAAAGTAATCTGGCTCCTCTGGTAAAGATGATGTTTTGTCTACTTGCTTGCATATGATCTCATCAGATTTAAAACTATGAATTATGAATTACTTAAATATTTGGAAATTATTGAAACAGTGGACCACCAAATGGATGTTGTGTAGGCATACCATTCCTCATATGTCCTTAGTCATCATATTTATCGGCAAGGATAATATGGTGAAATAGTTGGGTTGTATATGCAAGAATGAATTAATGAAATAGTTAGAAAAGCATTTTGGACACTAGTCATGAATAAATTTACAAATTGACTTATCGAATATCCCTATGTCATATATCTATTATTATGCTAATCATATATATTATCAAATACTCTTCCAATCTCTATTGAACATATAATTGGGTAATACAAACGATAACATATATTTAGATGAATTCTTTTGGAATCGTGATATGTTGTAAAATTTATTTTAACCATGATAATGCTATTATGTCACACACATATAGTACAGTACATGAACGTTACAAAAATTAACCTCATCCGCATCAAAATTGGTGAAGCCAATAGGAGGATATGAAGTCCAAGAACTTGCAAATTAAGTTCTGGTGAACATGTTTAGTCTCAACTTGTTCCTTGATTTATTTCTTTATTTTTTTTAAGTTATTCCTTGATTTTGGCAAACATGATATCCACTTGCCTGACCATCACCTCTATTAGTTAACCCACTATTGCAACTTGATTTCCACTGTATGCACTTAATTAGGTGTAATTAGACATGGCCAAAACCCGACCCGGCCTGGTCCGCCGGGTCGCCGAGCTCGAAAACACTAACTCTGAACTGGCACGGACCTATACTCGTGTCGGGTTCGTGTCCGGGCCGAGTCCGTACTTTTCTTTAAAAAGAGTATAAAAAAATAAAAAAAAAATTGAAAAGAAGGGCCATCGACCCGACCTGGCCCGGCCCTGACCCTCCGAGCCGAGTCATGAAACGAATGACCCTTACACAGCCCTTCTGAAATCCGGGCCGGTCCTGGACCCGTGGTCAACGGGTTTGACCAGGCCGGGTCTGTGCCGGGTCAGGGCCGGGTCGGCGGGCCGGGCGACCCTTTGGCCATGTCTAGGTGTAATCTTTAATGAATGTGTGCGTATGTGTGTGCCTGTTTTACATATTTGTTTCAAATTAAGAGATTGTAGTCGGATATAAGAGAACTATATATTCTTATACTTATTAGCGAAATATATTATGGTTTATAGATATTTATAGAATATAAACTTGTCCACTTCAAATTATGGAATCCTGTTCGACTTCCCCTACTACTCACATTTACGAATGCATTGTATGTTCCTAGTAGTAAATATAATAATAGTTGAGTGCATAAACAAATCGTTTGTGATAATTATTGTAACATGACAAGTAAAGATATTGGAATGCCATTACAAGTGATTTACTAAAATTAATAAAGAACATTCAATTTGACCAAATGTTTTTTTTTTTTCACAAACAACTACTAATACAGAAATTCTATGGCGCCCATATGGGCACCATATGGTGCCCATATCTCATGATCCAATGCCTAATATCCATTCTATCAATTCCACAATGAATATTAGGCGTTAGATCGTGAAGATTATGGTACCATATGGTGCCCATATGGGCGCCATAGAATTTCTGCTACTAATATCCGTCCATCAGAACAATTAATATTATATTTTCATTAAAACAACTACTAGAATCTGCGATAAAAGCTGATCACCGAAAAGTTCAATAAATTGAAACTCTTTATCAGAAGATCATATATATACGTATGTAGGTCTTATTATAGATTGAGCGAAATAAAAATCAACCAACTTAAACATGAAAAACTCAAATTAGCAAGATTACTTATTGTGGATACCCATTCTTTTTTTAAAGCTCTAAAGCTTGTCACAAGCTGAGACAAAAACAGTATGGGCACCTTTTCTATTGGCCCTTATTAGTGCTTTATAGCTTCACTCACATGGTGCCTGGTAGGAACCACAGATCCTATTTTCCCCTGCTTTGACCTGTGCTGGAATTTAGTTGTATGTCATATAATATCTCGAGAAAATTGCAATTTTAGTCCAGTAACTTAGGCTGTTTCCCACTTTAATCCAGTAACTAGGACCGATCCAAAATTGGTCCAAAAACTTCTAAAATGTAGTTAAATTAGTCCAATTCCGGTCCCCGTCGCCGGAATCCGATCGGAATGTGCTGAGTTGGCAATTCGGATTCCCGCGACGGGAACCGGAATTGGACTAATTTAACTACATTTTGGAAGTTTTTGGACCAATTTTGGATCGGCCCAAGTTACTGGACTAAAGTGGAAAACAACCTAAGTTACTGGACTAAAATTGCAATTTTCTCTAATATCTCAAATTTTATATAATTATATGTATGTGCACATTTCTTTATTCTCCAATTCCAAAATTAACATTCTATACGACAACTAATTTCTCGCCTCGCAGAAAGAAGAATCCTAAGCGAGTCTCGTGAATATGGGTTAGAATGGGCATAGAACCGACCATTTTCTGAAAATGACAAGGGCATTGAGGGCTTATAAAAATAGTGGGGTTAATTGGTGAAGGAGTGCATGCATGTGGGTAGGCGATGATTATCTGAGACGGCCACATGGACCAAGGGAGCAAACTCGAGGCAGTACTTTTATACTTTCGGCAAAACATGGGTGGGGACTCTTGTTAACAAATTTCTTCTTATACTCTGTGGTCAATAAAATTGTTAACAAGAGCTTTAATTTATTTAACATCCTAATAACATCAAACTTGTGACATGGGTATTAATTCTTTAGTCAACTGACAAATTTAATTGCCAAAATTGAATGAGAGAAAATTGGTGTTTCTTGTGCATAATAAATAAGTTAATGGTCTTGGTTTGATTTCAAAATAGACAAGAATAATTTATTTATTTTCTTTAAAAAAAAAATTATTAAGACTTTGTATAGCTTAAATTCGTGAGTTATTTGGTTAAATATTTTAATACGACTATTTGATTAGTGGACAATTTAATTAACTTTTGGACCCAAAAGATTGAGTATCTGATATTATCTTGAGGTAAAATTACAGTTTAAAGTTTTGACTTTCATACTAAGTTATATAAATTAGTTTACACATATGATCTCTTTTGTACAAGTTAAATTTAGTATTTGTATGTTAGCATCAGGGGGTTTTGTAGTATGTGGATTTGGGGGTTGAGAAATGGGAATGGATGTGATGTTAGGTAATTTGTTGAATCGAATTATCACTATCATTATTTGTTTTTAGCCTATGAGCCAATTGATTTCACTTTCCCTCTTATGAAACCTTTTTCATTCCCAAATATTTGTCAAGCATTACTCAGAGTGTCATTAATCAATTTTGAATGGATGACTAGTTGTTGTTTCAATTTGTTTTTGTTAATCAATAGACATATATTAAAAAATATTCTAAAAGTTCAAAATCATTTTAATATCCTTATAAATTATTTTAACAATTAAAAAACAACTATCTGCTCTCAAATATCTAGTCAACTGGAAGTAGCAAAGTGTTGGGTCAAATTTCGTTGCCACTTAGAGACGAAAAGACGAACAGTTAAGAATAGCAGTATAGCACCAACATTAACGATGATAACGTTCGTATTACACGCCGCCCAACAATTATGCAACTTTTTGGACAGAAAAAAATTGGACAAATTGGGGTGTTTTTCGGCTTTCACCATTGGCTTGCCACGTACAACATTAAAAAACATCAAATGCAAGACAATAATTTAAAAATTGGATAATAATGCACAAAGCAAGAGTGATTGGAGTTAGTGAGCCAAACACACAATTCTAAATATATGCTATTTCCATGTCCACCAAATTTTGTATATAGAATTCCAAGTGCGTCAGTGCTTCATATTTCGAATTATCTTCTTATTGCCCTCGTCATTCATTGAAATGTTGGCGACAAATATTTCAACTTTCGAATCAATTTATCTTTTAGGTGGAATTTAAAAAATTTATGTTAAGCCATAGGTACTAACTGGTGAAGGTAGCAGTGGAATTAATGATTTTTATCCACGGAGAATGCGAAAAATATCATAACATTGTGTTATGAATTAAAGTAATTGGGAGAAGGAATATATCCTTCTATATAATTCTTAAATATGTTGAGTTTAAGTGACAAGCTCGTATATATCGGGTTTCTAGGCGGTAAAATTTTATATTTCATTATTTGGCTTGGATAGATTATAATTTACTTCCAACTCAAAAATAAGTAGGTTCAGATTATTTATAAATATGTTGATTATTTATGGTCATTTTGCATGTATTGCTTGCATTTTAATATCATTTTCTATTATAAACATTGAATTGTAAATGTACTATAAAAGTTAATAATTTTTGTATTTTTTTTTTCAGTTCTATACATATCATATATCAAATTAAACATCTCTTGATAAGTTTCGATTCGACATCCATATTGTATTTATAAAATAAATAAATTATATTTATCGTTTTAATAAAACTATTTATTAATATTAATTAGAAAAACAAATTTATTTATCAAGTAATATTTTAATGTTTAAAGTAATTATATGATATAAGTTAGAAAAATTATTACAATATAACACATGTAAGTCCCAAAAGTAACAAGTGTCATTCTAAAATGTATAATAATATATTTTTTTGTAAAAACTTTTTGAATTTTATAACACTTTTTTTTCATTAATTTTAAAATTTAGAAATATTTGTTTTAACAAGCAGACCTGTAATACACAGGTTACTTGAGGGCAAGTTGTCGAGGAAGTTTGCATTATTGCGACGAGACGAGTAGAATGAGCTCTTTTGGGGCTTCATCCAGTAATAGTAAAAAAAGAAGTTTGCATCAAACGAGTGAAGTATGTAGTGGCTAATGATGGAAAAGCCCACCATAAGGCAAATGGCGTTGGGAACGAAATGATGAAGAGGGACTCTGTAGAGCCGAGACAACACTAAGAGATCGGATTTCAGGGGAAAAGACAAACTGACATATACCAAGTCTACGAAGAACACTTGAAAACCCTCGAGGGGCTTGGTGAAGGAGTCCCCAGCCCTAGGAAGCCAAAGCTCCCAAGATCGAAGAAGCTCGTAAGAATGGTAAAGTACACCAAGTCAGTATCAGACAAGGTCGACAAAGGAATAGATCTTGCGACTTGAACGAAGTCAAAAGAGATGACGACTTGGACACCTTCGGCGATAGCCATATCGGTGAACCTACGCAAAGATATTGGAAAAACGACTATTGGGATGTCTTGAAGAATCAAAAAGTTATCAATCACAGAATTCAAGAGATTTTGGGAAGAGGATGTCGAAGAGCCCGAAGACATGATAGAAGAAAGGAAACCGACCTTACTGGTTTCCAACGAAAAGAAAACAAGAGATACAGATCGAGGTCTAAAAGGAGAAAGATAAGAAAGCAGAAGATGAAGAAATTCAAAACATACCCATTAATATCCTGAAGAGCGAGGTTGGTAAAATCTAGGGTTTTCAGGTCGCGACATGAACTCAGTCACAGGACAAATTTGGCAACATGAAAATGAAGAGTGATGGTAAAAAGTAAAGAAAGAGTTAACCAAGGGTAAGTTTTTATGCATACCAAGTAAGATAAATCCGGCCGTTACAAGACACACAAATAAAGACTTAGAATCTCGTCCAGAATTTGGTAAGACATGTCCACGTGGACACTGTACATATGGGCGGGATCCGAGCATGTAAAAAGTTTCTAATGGCGCCTCACGCTCTCCCGAGATTATTCGATATATCGGACAAAAGAAGAAGGTCAATTATAAAGTTTTAAACACAAAAATCCATTTTAGCACTAGTCCGGTTAGCTCGTACTGAAATGGGGGATCAAATAATATAACACTCGGAAACAGCACGGGAGAACAGTCTGAGCAGGCAACTCAGTTTTAGCACTAGTCCGGTTAAGTAGTTCGAAAACAAGCTTAAGATGTCGAGCTCCCAAAAAAAGACACGACTTGAGGTACTAGCCTCCAGGAGCCCGTCAAAGTAACCGAACTCAAGATATCGAGGTCGGGTGGTCTAAGGAAAAGATTGACCTAAGGACGAGGTCGGTCTAGACCTTAGGACAAGGTCAGGTGCGCCCTTGGAAAGGCCACAACAGACAGGTCAGGAGGTCGGGTTCACGAGCTAAGGATCAATGGGCTAAAATAGTAAATAGAGAAAGAATCCGAGTAAGAACGAAAAAATCACTCGCTCAAAGAACTATTACCAAGATAGAGACGTAGTAAGTTAGAGAAGTATAATCCGGACGGATCTCTTCCCTAACAAACACATTCTACGCCTTACTCATATATTCTTAAGAATATAGTTTGAGCGAGTTCTGAATTGACATCATAGAGTTTTTCACTGGGTCCTCCTCTCGGCATATTAAAGGTCATAAGAGCTCAAAGAAGAGGACCATTCGAGGCGTAAAGTATAAAAATAAATATATAGTAGAATTATTTATTATTAGCGGCCCATGAAATAGGGTGGACTACATCTAAGTATTTCTTAGCTCATTGAGAGTCTTAATCCTAACCTTCTTAGGTGTCTGTTGTAGTCTATATATATGCTATGTAGGGAACTCGATCTCATAACTCAACCCTAGCTTAATATGCAAGAAAATAGAAAGAGAGAGAGTCGCAAGACACGCGTTTTCAGTAGATTGTCGCCCACACGACGTCCGAATGAGGCTAAGGATACAGAACAGAAGATTGAAGGTGTTGGGCGATCACCGGTGAACCACGCACCTCAACCGCACGTGATGCGCACGACCATGGCACTCGAACCCCGACGATTGCCACCAGCCACCACGATGCATGCCATTCCAGTGTGCTGCAAATGATCCCCGCTCCCTGGCCCAGGCAATGCACGCGATCGCAGCCATGAAGCAAGTGATCCTCGCAGCACCCAACGATACACCGCAACTTGCAGCTCTCGGCGACGGATGTGCGATGCACACAGACAACGACCGACAAAGACAATGACACGCGACATGTACGAGGCAGACAAATGAAGGTTTAAGAACATCTAAGAACGGTTCGTCCGAGTCCGTAGTCCGTGTAAGTCTGTACAGAGTCTGCTTTTGTGAAACCGTAAGAGCTCATTTTTAGGAAGTAAATTTAATACAAAATATTTCTCAAATAACAAATTTTATGAATTTCAATTCAAATTTTGAAAGTAGCCGCCATTTTACTAAAAAAATACTAACAGTACAAGCAAGAATTTCCATTCTATTTAAAGTAAATCCCTATTGCTATTATATATTAATAGATATTGAATATATTGATATTGATATTCTATATTCTTTTGGCTCGGGAAATCGTTTTTTGAGATATGTTAAATGGTATTTGTGTAATAGGTAGGTGATAATGTCAAAACAAATATTTGATGTGATTTATTTTTATAAATGTTAGGAAAGTTTACTTTAAAAATATTTGTAATATAACTAAAGGTTGAAAAATATTTCTGTGGATAAATGTTAAAATGTTATTTAGAATCGTGTACTTTGAAATTTTTTAATATGTGGTTTTTGATCCAATTTACACATATATTATATGATTCTAATAAACCGAAAACACGTGTTCTAAATAATAGTTAGACTCTTAAGAATGATCAAGACGAAATATTTCTTTACAAAAATCATTTGTGATTTTATTAGTACAAAATTAATTGATAGAATTCCAAAAAATTTGGTATGTGTTACAAAATTGGCGAAGGTACTATTGATTACTATTAGTTCTTTTATATAAAAATAAATCTTCTATACCTGACTTGTGAGATTTTATTGAGGAGCTTGAAATTGTTAGATTGGCGGAATTCTCCTAATTCTTTTTTCGGAAAAAAAATTATTAATTTTAGACATGAAAAATGTTGGTAATAGTTTCAGATCAAATGAATCTATGGTCTTGTTGATGACCGACTTGATTTTTCAATATTAAATAAAGGATCAATCATGTTGTCTTCCCAATGATCCTTTAAATTTATTTCTGACGACAAACTTAGTTCAACTCGGTACAACTACACGACAACAGACTTTAGACAGCCGGTTCAACTCGGTACAACTACACGACAACAGACTTTAGACAGCCGGGATAACAATCGACTTATTACCAAACTCCAAAACCGACTTTACATTAAAGACAAAAAAGCCGACTTCGTAACCCTTTCTATTAAAGATTATCCATTCAAACCGAGATCCGAGGTGATTAAATTCCAAAGCAGGAGGCGTTGTACGCTTCTTATTGGACCATCAAGTCAAAGAATAATCATTGATGTTCTCTCATTGCATTACACGCTGCTTTATTGAAGCTGCTCAACATTAAATGTGATCTGATCTACCTCGGACAAGAAGACAAAATTGTCGTACTATAAATAGCGGAATTTATGACTGTATAGGGATCTTTTTCCGCACATTGTACACAGACTATAAAAACATCTCGGTTACTTACAAAAACCGACTTCCTGTACTCTTGTGAAACAATCAATAATCCAAGGAATTTACGTTAATTTTTCTTTAAATACACCTTACTTTTATTTATTTGAGTTGTTAAATTTCATACAACAACAGGTCTCATGTGTGAAATGTATTTCTGCTTATTCAAATCAGTTAATAGAATTAAAAAAAAAAAAAGGGTTATACGAACATTTTATTTATTTGAATACAATGTATTCAAATATGATTGTTTATATAAATCAAAATGTTTTTATTTATTATTGGCAATAAAAAAATTGGATATCAATTTTTTATATACCAAAAATATGAAAGAAATCATATAAATTGAAATTCATCAAACAAACTTGAATTCTGTTAGATTTTGTAATACCAAAAATAATAGATAGAGTTCATAAAAATAGGTTGAATTCTTCCCAATATTTAAACTGGATTTTTATATAGAAAATTATGGTGAAACAAAATCTTGATCAAATCTATACAATCACACTCCGATACGCCACTATGAAATATGCGATTTTGTTTTAAATTTTCTAAAAATTCAAACAGGTCATTTAGATAGATATCCTGATTGTTTAAAAAAAAAATACTTATTATAGCAAGCACGAGGCGGGATTTTGAAATGCTTTTTAGTTACTATTTTAGAATTTTTAAGTTGCATCTTTATATATTAATATTTTATAATAGATGTTTATATTTTTTTATAGTATTTAAAAGTGACATCCATCAATTCTATATTATACGTCGGTCTCATTTTTCTTCTCCCTATGCCGGACAGTGAGGATCCAACGGTTCAACGGCTAAAACGGCTTTGCCCCTAAAAATCAGCCACGTCCGAAGTCCGAACTGAGAATCTTTGTACAGTAAAACGATAAAAACCCATCTTGAATAAAACGTGATGAATTGGGCCCACCCATCAAAGCTGACACGTACCCGCTGTCGTGTTTCTCAACCCCGTCTTCATTGCCAAGGCCTAAAAGCAGCTTTTGATAAAATCTCTTCAAACCGACCGCACTCATTGTCTTCTTTTTTAAGGTTAGTTAAGATATTATTTTTATTATGATGAGAAAGCGGGTGGAACAAATGGTCTAATAACCCTCTTTAAAAATTAAATTGGAAAAGTTTGGTAGGGTTTTTGGTTCTTCATTGGGTGCATTGAATTCTTGTTCTGTATTATTAGGTTGATAATTAGTTATGATTAATTTGTGTGGTCGTCCATCAAGAACGTACATGAGACAATTTATTAGATAGACGTCAGACATGCTTGTAGGATTGAAATTGTGGTCGTCCTAGCAATTGGGGGAGAATTTAAGAGAATTTTAAGTTTGTAGTTAAATAGTAATTAAAATGTATTAATCAAAGTTGATCGTGATGTATATGTAAAAGAAGAAAATTAATAAATTACTGTAAATCATAAGTATTTAAAATTATATGAGATGATGAATAATTGAATCAAAGTTGATGTAAAGTGTGATAATGATATATTAACATTATTTAATTATATTAATAATTTTTAGAAAAGTTAAGTTGAATTAAATTTGAGTTAATTTTAAATTAAAAAATTGTAAAAAAAATTACGACCAGTGAAAACTAGTTATTTAGGATGTGATTGAATGATACGACTACGAGTTCGAGCCTTGATGTTGATGGAGATGCGAGTCTGGCCCAGAGAAGGTCATGTCGGATAATTCAAAGGCCCATTTTACCCCAATTTGCTAACATCCAGACATAGTTATATAATTTGGGAAGACTCGTGTATATGATTTGCTATGTTTATCAACGTACAAACGCACTTGCGTTCACCTAGAATTTGATATGATTTAATTACTATTAATTTCATGTTGGAACATAATTTTTCTCCTTGTTCAGCTATACTCGGTTATTAACTTTTCTAGAAATAAACTTTCTGATTAACAATTTATGTGCAATTCTTTAATGACAAAGTTAAAGGTGAATGTATGTTGCTTGATCCTTCATCTGCCAATATATATTTAAACTTCTGTTGTGTGGCATGAAAAGTTGAGACATAGATGATATGACCCCAGCCCGATAGATGATATGACCCCAGCCCGGTTCGGCCCTGGTTTTGCCCTGGGTTGAGCTGTATTAAATAGTTAAATTAGCTTGAGAATTTGGCTACAATTTCTAGAATGTTTCGATTTTAAAGGAGTATACCCTGTCTTGGAGAGCAAGACACTAATTTCTTATTTTCAGTTTCACTTTTCTGAACAACTTTTCTTATATACAAAATATTATTTACTCGTGAACTGACTTGAACATCAGAATTTTTAGACCAGTGTTCTAATAGTAAATTTGACGCTAATCAATGATGTACTCGCGGAGGGCCAATCTTTCTTCTTACAAGCTCTTAACTAAATAAAAATGAAGCTATTGATAAACAACAGCCAAAAACAACTCAATATCCTACAAAAAAGGGCTATAATTTGTTCCCGTAAACAAAAATAAAATATGGAAATCACAATGAATTTAATTAATCATGCGAAAAGGGATGTAAGATCAATTTTTCTCCACATAAAATTGTTGAGATGTAAATCTCTATCAGACAAAGAATACCATTAAATCTACAAAATAGAAATAAAAATTATGTACTGTGAAATTGCACACCGGCTCTTTCGGATTCCATTCATAAATTCATAATTGTGTATGTTTGATCTTTATAATATTCCTTATGAATAAACGTTTTATTCCGATAAAAAAAAAGGGGATCAATTGAAATTATATAATAATGAGAGTTTGTTCGATCTTATTACAGTGCAGCAGTCACCGAATTTTTTACGTCAGAACACACACATATATCCATACGGATGTATGGAGGTGCAACAGTAAGAAAAACTCAATATTGCCGTAGGATGAAATTTTCCGAGCAATGGAAAAGAGGTGGATTGAGAGGCGAGGAAGGGTATTTAAGAAAAATAAATTGAAAGGTAGATTAGTTTGTAAAATTTGAGCACATTTAGAATTAGCCTAGAATTGAAGAATATTTATGAGAGCAACATACCTATTTCCTCCTAATTCTCAAAAACTTAGAACGTGGTTTCAGTCTTTCAGACTACAATGTGGAATGAGATAAAGCCCAGTTATGGATGATGGGTTTGAAGAGTTTTGAGTTTGTAATAAATGGCCTCAGAACCAACTGAGGCCCATGTTAACAATGGCCATCTATTATTTCAGTTGACAATTTGAGATAGGACATGTTAAAGTAACCAAATGATTGACATAAAATTGGGTGTTAATAAACACTATCCTCTTTTTACTACCTATCACTCTCCTTATACCGTTTTACTCTTGACCTTTTTTTTGTTTTAAAAAAAAAAAAAAACTACGATCGGCCGGCCAGCGATTGCGGCTGCACTCGGCCGAGTCGGCCAAACAGTGAGGTCGGTCGAACGCCACCTTGTGCGACCAGTATTGCTGGCTGGCCGTGTTGTTTTTTTTAATCAAAATTTTATTTAAATTATGTTGGAATTTAAAAATTATTTTGTTATAAATTAGAATTTATTATTGTTATCTTAGAACTTAAAAGTTATCGTGTTATTAATTCAAACTGATTATCTTCAAATCCCCTTTCTCTCTCTCATTAGAACTTAAAAATTATTATGTTGTGAATTAGAACTGATTATCTTGTAGAATTTAATATTATTTTGTTAGAACTTAGAAATTATTATGTTTATAATTAGAACTTATTATGTTATAATTAGAACTTATTATGATAGTCCTTTTTTAGTTAGTTAGTAGTGACATCTTCTTCCCTCATCTCTCATCTCCATTCTCTAGATCCCCTTCCTCTCTCTTCTCTTTTAACTTCCTCGACCCTAATTTCAGATCTCCAGCCTTCCCCAGCCGGTCACTGGGTCATCTCGACGGCGATCGGGCCCGGGGTGCGTAGCTTTCCCTAGAATTTCTATGTCGATGCCCCTCTTTGCAACGCTGGAGGCGGACGGCTTTCCTGGTAGTCTTTCTCCGTCAATTTGGTCCGATCGGGGTTGGGTCTTCGTTTTTCTGGTGCAACGGCGGTGGGCAGAGGAGGGTTCCGGGCGACTGCGGCCCTAGCCGTCTGGTGTTGGCGGTTGGGGTGGAAGATCGGCGAGCTTCATTCCATGTGGCCTCTTTTCCCTTGGTGTGCGGGACAAGGGGCTGACCGGCGGTCACTGTTCTTGGCCTTGGTGTTTGCCGAGATCGGGACGATGGTGGTGTGGAGGGGTAGGTTGGCAGTTTTTCGACCGCGGGACCGGGGTTGATTGTCTGAGCGCGGAGTCGGGTCTTTAGATGTGGCTCCAGTTAGGCGGGTTTGGCAGTTTCTGGAGCAGCTTCTCGGGGCGTGGTTCGGTCCGATTGTGGCAATCGGCCAGGGGTGCTGCTGTTGGATGTTGATGCCGATGAGATTGCATTAGCATATCTCGACAAATATGATCGACTTATGCCTTTAGTTTAATCGTTATTATATGTATTACTATTATTTATGTGTGTATTTATTTATGTTGCATTAGGTTTATTATATTTAGGCTTTTAAATAATGATGGTTAGGAATATGTTGTAATATATATCAAACATATATGTTATATGAAAGGTAGTTGAATATCAGTTTTAGAAAAGATATTGTTTTCTTCGTACAGAGAAGAAAAGAAAGAAAACTTCTTCTTACAGATTCAATTTACCATCACAACGCTGCATCATTTGGTATCAGATTCGGGACGATTCTCGATGTCGCCGAGACGACGAGATGCCGAGATTGACGGTCGTCTTCAACAGATGGACGATCGGTTCCAATTGATGGACACTCGGGTTACCGATCTCGCTACGGGAATCGATGATATACGGACCACACTTGCTACCATGTTGAGAGATCAGCGAGCCAACCGTGATGTTGCCGGTGGTCGTGGTGGTCGCGGGGGTCTACGCGGAGGTCGTGGGGGTCGATGGTTCGGCGGGGCATCCCGTTAATCGGTCCCACAAAATCAGTTTGGCGATGAAGACAGCGACGACACTTGGTCCGACATTAACCCATTCGCCGACGGGTTTGACGACCAGTGTGGTTTCGCCAACCACAACCAGAGGAATGAAGATGACGGTTTTCCCATACCTGGTTTCCTTCACCGTAGTGCACCGGAGGCCTTTCGCGGACAAGAGTTCCCCGGCTTCAATCATGCAGACTGCCATGGCATGGAAACCCTAGGCCCTGATTTTCCGTCCCACGGTGAGCATGAATTCCGGCGAGCAGCTGTTGAAGGCGACGCTTTCCGCCGAGGGCCGCCGCGAGGACGTCGGTGACCTGCCAATTTCGATGGTGAAACGGCTGCCGCCGATTTGCGTTGGGGTAATTTTTTTGGAGACGGTCGAGGAAATCAATTTCCTTTTGGAGTGCGTGATTTTGATAGCGGATTTAATAATCCTGCTGCTCCTAATTATGCTGAGTTTGGTGGGCCGGGGCATGAGGCCCATTTTCGCAAATTTGGGGTTGGGGTTGATGGAATTAATCGCTGGGAAAATTCGTTTCGAGTTGACATTCCGGATTTTGCTGGTGGGTTAGACGCTAGTGAATTTATTGATTGGTTGATTGCCATCGAGGCTGCCCTCGATTTTAAAAATGTACCGGACGATTGGCGGGTTGCACTTGTAGTCACTCGACTTCGTGACCGTGCGGTCGCTTGGTGGTTACAGTTCCAGGGTGTGCGGCATCGTCAGGGCAAACCAAAAATTATTTCGTGGCTAAAATTTCGTAAGTACCTTGTACGAGAATTTTTACCGTTTAATTTTGTCCGTACCTTATATCAGCGTTTGCAAAATCTTCGTCAAGGACAACGTAGAGTGGATGATTATACTGAGGAATTTTATAAACTCTTGGCCCGGGTAGATATTCGTGAAACTCAAGATCAGTTGATTTCTCGTTATATTGGAGGATTGCGTGTCTCTATTCAGGATGTGTTGAATATGTTTACACCGGCTTCCGTTTCTGAGACTCATCAGCGGGCTTTATTGGTTGAGCAGCAGCAGACCCGGA